CTGGAGCACATCAGTGTGGCCTTTCCTTCTACTGTCTAATATAAGAACAAGTTTCAGAAAGGGTGGAGGAGAAAACCTCTCAGCCTAGACCTGTGGCATTCAAACTTCTAGATGATGTTTCCTACGGCAGACTCCCTGATGAAGCATAAAGAACTACAAAGAACTAAAGTATTGCCTGAAAAATCATAAATGTATTTGCTGAATTATAAACAAAATGAATGGGACATGCTAATTTTACTTGGTTTGTTTGTAAATTGTGAAAGAAAGTCCAGAGGCCTCACTGTCACCTCACGAACAGATCTTGACCAAGGCTGTGGTCCTTCAGTGACTCCTTGACAGCAATTCTGTCATCTAATTTCCTGCTAAGCTAAGGGAGATTGAAAAGTGGTAGGTAAATGTATAAAGGGGTCTACCTAAAATCTAAAAATCCCCTTCAAAAAGGTAGGCACATTACATATCACCTTGGAGGACCAGTGTGAAAGGGGTGAAGCAAATGAAAAAAATTAACAAATAGAAGTCTTCACTCATCTCTGTTGTAAGTCTAAATCAAATAATATTCGTAAGCAAGGGAATCCAAAGAGTAGTCAAAACCAAGTAAAATGAGCTGAACAGATCATCTACTTCTGTATACTCACTGCAATTTTTTTAAACCTTTTTCCATAATGTTTTCCTATGGTTGCCAGCCAGGAACAGCTGAACATTACTGTTCTATCTCCTGTACTGTTTAATCGAGCCTCGCACAGGGGCATTTAGATGATATTCTTCCTTGTTCAGGGACAGGGCCATGACCATCTTTCTTCTACCACTGGAACAAGAAGACAGCCCCTATTATATTTTGCCATCTTTCCCTCTCTCCCTTGAAGCTAAGTTGGGGGGAGAAGAGAGATTCTCCTGAGCAGCACGGACTTTCCTTTCCCAAATTCATACAAGGACAGGAAAACTCTGAAACAATCCTAATGCCTGAAAACCTTCTCATACATATACTTTCAGATGAGCACGCAAATATAACATAAAAGGCATTAAGCACTGAAGCTATGATTGACATAACCCTGCCAGTGAAAAAGACAAAATCAGAAAAGAGGAAGGAAACGTCCTTTAACGTTTTCCCACATGTGCTTACAACACTGCATGTAGGTCTCACTCGCTCTTTAAAAATGCAAGTTGCAGGCCCCAGCCTTGCTGTCCGTCACCTGTGCTATAGGAAAGGCCCTTAGAAAAAGTCTCCTTTCACAAAGTAAGCAGGACCCTGCTTTCAGCAGTCTACCCATTCAGTTTGCTTTAAAGCCCAGATGATGTAATGAGCAAAAAAATCAAGCAAAAATTCTGAGTTGAGTGTCCCTTCATGCTGTAATATTATGCTTTAACATACTATCTCTGTGAACCATTCTAGAAACGGGTAGACATAGGCTCTATTAAGCCTAATAAACTATTCTTCTTTTGTTAATCAAACAGCTCACTTCAAAATTATAAAAAGAATTCTGTAATGCAAACAAACTTGAAAGATAATACAAAGATAACTGTGATTACGGGTGTTGCGGTATATGTTTTTACCTATTACTCCAAGTCATTATTTGTTAAGACTACAGGCCACTTACAACCAATCTGATGTAGGCTCGTAAATGCAGATCCCTTAAATTTTTTGTTGTAAAGAAAGCTATTTCACTTATCTCAGTGGGGGAAAACCCTGACATTCTGGTTTGGTGATTTTTTCTGTATATATACATATATTTAGTGGTTGCTATTACTAGTTATATTACAAGCCATAAGCAGTCCTGATGAATCCAGAGTGAGTACAAGTTAATTCAATACTGGCAAAAGACTTACGCTAGGCTGTCTGCCTCACAGGCAGATGTCTACATCTAAAATTTATGCAGAGAAGGTCCAAGGCTGTGAAGAGGTTTGGAAATCATTAGCTGAGTACTAACATTTAATCAAAGCTAATGCACTTTCTGAATTCATGGAAAAGGATGAGATTTTGTTCTCAGAAGTCTTTAATGAATTTGAGGGGGCTTACTCTGTAAGATTTCACACCAAATGGCCTGACTGTTCCGAAGGGGGATGCTGACAATGTCCTGAAAATCAACCCTCTTTAAAAGCTATCCAGCTGAGTAAACCATGATGAGGAACTTGCCATAATCCTTTTGAAAATTTAGCCTGTGATTCCTAACCTGATGTCCAGATCATCTAGTGTTACGACCCCGCAATCCTGACAGGCTACTGAGGTTGAGGGTGCTTGGCACCATCTCAGCAGCACTCAGCACTCCGTGTGATCAAACCAGACAGCTAGTACGTTCAGGCTAATGTGCTCAATGAACATACAAGCCAAACAGGCTGAGGCAGAGCTATTTTAAGGCTCTTACTTAGAAAACCCATAAACCATCAACAAGAGGCTTTACAAATGATGTGTATTTTATGGATGTGAACAGGTCAGAAAGAACACAGAACCAAGAAGGGGGCTGTTGTTTCAAATGGGTAATGTTGCAGAAGGTGGGTAGGGGAGGGAAGATTATTTTGAAAAGCTATTTTAAACTTGAGGAAAGGAGGAAAGCACAGAGTTACAGAGTAGACGAAACCGCATAGTGCCTTTGAAGTTTATACTTGAAGTTTATGCTTGAAAAGAGAATGCTGTGTATATATGGTGATAACGGCATAACAGGGAGTTTGGAAAAGATGGACTGTCCAATTCTGGTCAGATTGAGCTGGCAGAGCAGCAAAATATGTAAGATGAAATACCAAAGCCGTAAGTTAGAAAAAGGACTAAGAAGAGAACAAGACTGAGAATGCAGGGAGTTCTGAAAGATAACAGAACTGACACATAGCATGACAACATGCAAATAGTAACATCCTTGACAGGAAGTCATGAATGCACAGCATGATTTTCATGCAAGCAGCTGAAGAATTTTAAGTGGAATTTCTCAAAATAACACGTGACTTAATTATCAGAGAAGGGAGATGGAAAAGAAAAGGCAAGAAATGAGTTTTTGAGGGCCAGACAATCAGCAATGAGATACACTGCCTGACATTTAAAGGATGGAGAAAGAGGAAAAATTAATGTAAACAAAGCACATTTACACATCTGACAGAGGGGATAAAGCACATTTATGATTAGAACACAGCTAGATACCATCTCATAGAGTATTTTTGGGGACTACAACCATAAAATATGATGGAACAAACTGGGAGATAAGTGACCATTAAGTATGGCTGGCGAACAGACTCAAGAGATAGGATGACTATTATTCTATAGTGGGATAAAGGAGGACAGACGATATATTTGGGGGCAATGGAAGGGCATAAGAACAGGTTTGTACTGGAAGCTGAAGTATACCACAAGAAATAGAACATACACTAAAAGACAAGGTATGAAAAGGCATACATGAGTAAAGAATATGTCAGTGGAAGAGCAGCAGACTAGTGGTTAATAACTTGGTTATTATAGAATCATTTGTGTGTACACAGACAAAATATATAGTATGGAACTATGTCATTTCAGCAGAGGAGTGATTAATAGTTCTAATGAAGTCATATATCGAGAGTGTGAGTAAGTAGTTACAAACAAGTATTAAGGATGTATGTTAAAGAACAGAGGCTGGATAATCTATGCCACAGGAACAGTTTTGGTAGATGTGAATGCCTTGAGAGAGTGAAAGGAAAGAAAACGTCAGCAGAGATAGCTGGAGGTGAGGTAGGCATACAGTACCAGAGGAGGGAAAAGTTAGAGCAACAGCATATATGTTAGCAATTTAAAGACGTGCTCTCATCTCCTACTTGTATTCATGCACGGAAGAACGATGACACAGTGGCAGAGGGGCTGATAAGCCCTACTCTCTGCTCCCCATCTAAGCGAAGGCGCAGAACAGACGGAATGAGAAGGCAGGGTATTGGTACGCCCAGGCCAAGTTGGCGAGGCGCGCGAAGGAGTAGGTACAGACGCGCACACACCGGACTCCGGGGTGCAAAGGCGGGGGGGTGGGTGACAGTACCAGTGCGCACGCAGGCCGAAGCAAAGCAGGCAGCCAAAGGCGTTCGTACCGACGCGGGCCGGCGGGCAGTTACAACGCCTGGGGCAGGAACGGCGCGGCTGCCGGGCGGGCGGCGAAGCTGCGGGGGCACCGGGGAGGAAACCGCGGCCCGAAGCCGGTTTGGGCGGCAGGGGAAAATGGCCGAGCGGGCGGCTGCCCGCGGGCCGCTCGGGGAGGAGGGAGCCCACCCGCGGCGTGGCGGGGGAGGCCTCACGGCAGCGTGCCCGCTCGCAGGGGCTGCGGCGGGACAGGCGGGCAAGCAAAGCCCGTGCGGCGCCCGTACGGGCTCCCTCCCCGCGCCGAGGGCGCCTGCGGGGAGGTCGAGGATCACCACGCACACGCACACCCACCCCGCCCCGCGCCCGCTCCACTCACCCTTCGCTGGAGGCCTCCTCCTCGGCCATGGCGGCGGCGCGGCGGCCCGGAGCTGGCACCGGAGGAGGAGCGGCGGCGGCGGCCGGCAACGCAGCGAGCGACAGCGCGACGGCGGCGGCCCCGGCCATCACGGGCTGCTCCTCCCGCCCGCCGCCTGCGTCATCCCCGGGGCGGGCCCCGGCGCCAGCCGCCCTCGGCGGCGGCGGGGGAAGGGGCGTCCCCCGGGGAGGGGAGGGAGGCCCAGGCGCCTCCCAGCCGGCAGCGGCCTGGCGGGAGCGCGGCCCTCGGGATCCCGTGTGTAGGCCCCGCGTTCCTCCCCCCCCCCCCCCCGCCTGACCCTCAGCCGGGAGCGGCCGCCCCTGGACGGGGGCTGCGGGTTCCCGGCCGGGCCGAGGGTGAAGCCTCGGCGGGGCGAGGGCTCTGCGGCGGCCGGGGCACGGGGCGTGAACGCAGCTCCCGAGCGAGCGCCTCTGACGTCCCTGTTGGGACGGGCGGCGGGCAGCCGGGGCACCGAGGCCTCCGAGCGCCGGGCCCTCACCCCGGGGAGGCCCGAGCCTCCGTGCCAGCGCGCAGCTGCCGAGTGAAGCGGGAGGAGGTGGCAGAACCCAAACAAAAGCCCCGGCCCCTCTGCGAACAGAGCGTTGGCCAGCGGGCCTGGCAGGGCCGGCGGCGGTCAGCATTAGGTTTTCAGGTTGGTAGGTTGTGTTTGTTTTTACGTAGAAGAAGCAAATTAGGAGCTCTGGATGTAACTTCAATATTATCGGTCCCTAAACCGATGACGAGTACACCACCGATTGCGATTTTCAGTTCCAAGCGTTTTGAAAGACTTAAAAGTGCAGCCGTGCCCGTAGGGAGGAGAAGGCTGGGGGAAAGGGATGTGCTGGTTTTAGACAGCATTTAGCCTCACAGTATAGGTTGCGTTATGATTCAGCTGCGTAAGAACTGCATTCGTACTGAACAGTCAACAAACCTTAACTGAAATAAAGCACCAAGGTGTGCTGAGTGGAAGGAGTGGCGAGAAGTTTTTAGGTCTTGCATTTCTTCTGAATTTTGCCACTGGGCTGAAGCACTTTAGAAAAACAGATGGAAGATTGATTAATCTTTCGCTTTCTGAAATCCTTTGATAAAAGGCATAAGGTTAATTTGGTAATAGCTGAAATTATTCTTGGCTAAAACCATTCTGCAATTTTAACAGCAGTGATTGTTGAGATTGCACAATCTCAGCTGAAGTTTGTTTGTGTCACAGTGGTTTGGCAATCTGACATTTTTCTCAGTAGAGTATATTTATTATTGCTCTGAAAGTTTTTGTTTACCAAAAATGTGAACCTCGATGAGTGCAGAAGTATATGATCACTAGCAAACGCTTGCAGTGAAGCTCTCTAGAATTTGCAAACAGCCTGAAACAATAGCTCTGAATGCTATGATTTTTTTCTTCTTAATTTCAGTTGAATAGTAAGTTTAAAACCTCATAAGCAAGAGTTACTCCCTATTCATGGAACATGCAAGCGTTCAGACACCATTATCTCTCTGATTTTAATTCTGTGGTGCTCACACAAGCACTGATTGGTTGCACTTGTTTAAGAATGTAAATGTACAAGTAGCCCAATCTCACTTAGCAGCCCTTTCTCTTACTGAGAAATGATTTGGTTTCTTTAGAGCTGATTTGATTATGTGGAGAAATCAGGTGTATTTCTTTGCATGAAGAAATGAATGTGATAATGCTCATAGAAGAAAGAGGGTCATGCATCAGTTGGCTGATGTTGTGGTGTCAATGAATGAAGGACAGCTGTATCATAATAAGAAGGAAATAGTTCAGATGAGTTTTTCCATTTTTGTGTTTCAGAGAAATTTCTGGATGCTGAAAATGTCTCTGACTATAAGGGAATGGTCCCTGCCACTGTTTAATCTCTAACTTTTCTATGCTGATTTTTAGTGGAACTTATATCCGGCCCTGTTTATTGAATTAGTTTAATGTCATTCTCTTTAATAAAAGGTATGTTATCCAGTGTTGCTATTATAAGCCAGAATTTTATTTTCAGATCCCATTGTCCAACATAGATACGGTTAAAACAAAAAGACGTTTCTCTCTCATAGTGAAAAAGTAAAATTTTTGATCCAACAGAAGTAGCTACTTGTCAGCTAGAGCTTGTGATTTAATAAAGCATGAAAAGAGAGCAATAGTGTTTATCATCCACATTTTTTGTGATGACCCACTTAGTAAGCTACTTTTCCGAACTGCATCACAAATAGCTTGCTAAAATCAGTCTGAGCAAAAACCATAGAGAAGGTTGACCTGGCCAAGTATGCACAGACCAAGGGGAAAAGTTGGCTTATATGAAAGTGATAAAAACAGCAACTTGATGAAAGTAACATCTTATACTATGTCTATTCTGATGTGGTAGCAACAACTAAGATGTCACCCCAGCTCATGAGTAAAGGGGCTCACAGCAGTTGCATTCTTGTGGTGGTTCAGCAAGCGTGTAGTTGACTGCTATACAGCTTCTCTAGACCCTTTGTTTCTTGCTCCCGCAGATCATCCTCCTCTGAGTGTCTACTTCACATGTTCTCCATCTTTTAGTTCAAGTATAACTTCCAGATGAAAATTTGAGCCTTACCCTGGTTGAAAAGGAGAGCCACCTTATTTTGCAGGGAGTCAGGATAACAAGGAAGAAGCAGAATAAAATTGATTGGTTTCTGCAAATGAGCCTGTTAATGATGGCACGAGGACCTTGAAGCCATCATTGGATGTCCCTGGGAGCTCCTATCCATGCCTTGCTGTCACTGGAGGACTTAGCTTATCTGCCATGCTGCTTCAGGGGAGAAGCCTAATGTTTGTCAGCCACCTCAGGGACTGGAGCTGCAGGTGCTGGAGCTAGCTGTGGCTAAGCCTAAGTGGAAGCCCAAGTAGGGCTTCCTATTTACACAGCTCTCAGGATGTGACCGTGAGAAAGTCTGCCCAGAGTCCTGTTGTCTGTGTTTCTCTGGGAAGAGCTCTTGGTGTTGCTGGGGTGGGGGGAGGAATCCTGACATCAGCTGAGCCTCTGCTGCCTGGTTCTGGACCTCAGTATTATGGCAGTCTGGCAGCTGAATGTTTCAGCCTTGGATAAGTCAGTGAAGAAAGGAAAAGTCATAACCATGTCAGTCTCTGGTAGAGTCTGGAGATTCACATTACTGGGCACTCTTAGATCCCAGTGGTCTACAGGGGCACTGCAGTCCACAGCCAGCTTGTTCAACTTTTACTCTCTTTTATTGCTTTGTAGACTGTCACGGCGCTCCCCTGCAAACTGGAGTGGCAGTTCGAGACCAATGGCAGCATGTTTGGCATGTTCCTAGGGTGACTGCTCCATGTTACCCTGTTCCTAGACATACGTGGGTGTGGGGAAAAAGAGTTTCAAATCAGTATAGGTTGAACGGGAAGTGTTCAGCTGCTTGGAGGTCCTCCTTCACATTAATTTTGCCAACATCTTCCAACCAACATGTCTCTGCCTCTGATGAGCGTAAGGAGGGTATATCTACAGATACCCAGAGTCCTGGAAGCTGTGAGGGGTGTTGGTGACATGGGAGACCCTCCTTGAAGCAAGGCTAATGTTTTGCTGTGGTCCTTGTGCCTGAGGCCTGCCCTGCGTAGGGAAACAATCTGTCACAGCCTCTTGTCCTTTCATGTTCTTGCTGTGCTGGAGGGCAAGCTTTCTTGTGCCCCTTCCAAGACTCATGTCTGATCCTGCTGTGGGAGCAGGCTCTCTGTGGACTGGGAAGCCTATGCCATTGTGGCCGTGACTGTGAGGGGACAGTCCTGGAATGAACAGCTGGGGCAAATGAGAGTCTCTGTGAGCTTGGCACACTTGAACGAAAGAGGTACAGTTGAAGAGAGCTGTTAGAAAAGTTTTGCCAGTTACTTCACCGGGGTCATGTCATGTAAGCTAAGTAAATAGTCCTGACTGAGTTGCTGTTTGCAACATCTCAGGGTGGGTTTGCATTCAGAGCCCCTGTAGCACCATTTTGAAACTGCGCCCGCAGCAGTTGCGGTAGGAAGTTGAGTAACTGTGTGCAAGAGTCAGCTGTGGGGAGGCAAAGAGAAGTTTCAGTGCTCAAAAAAGCGAATGAACTGCAAAGAGGGGTGCCTAGGTACATCTTTGTTAGTATATCCGTACCAGCAACAGCTGAGGCCGTGACAGGCTGTGTTGCTAGGCAGAACTTCCATCTTGTCATACTTTGCTGTTCCAGAGTACATGACTCACATGTGATTAACCTGAAATTCCCTCCTGGATACAGGAGTGGCAGGGGAGAGACCAGGTCTCATGTTTTCAGGTGGGTGGAAGGGTGCTCCCGCCAAGGGCGCTGTGACTGTGCCTGCCTGGGTCATATGTGCTATCTGTGAGAACCCATGTCGATGAGACATTCAGCTGCACGAAACAGGGCAGGTAATCTAAGCAGTGTCCCTGTGCCACAACAGTCTGTTTTCTCTTCCTCAGCTGTCAGTGTGAATACCTCCATGAACACAGAAGCTGAAGACAGGGAGGCCTCCCAGGCTTTCTGGAGAGGTCCACACGAAGCAACGAGGCTGTTCTGGTTTTGATTGCAACCAATAAGAAGAAACTAGTTGAAAAGGTCAGGGTAAACATTAGATGAGACTGTCTGTGAAATAGCAGAGTTAGTGATCTGCAGGACCAGAGGAAGGAGTAGGATCAACACAAACCCTGTGCAAGTCAGGAAGGCAGCCTGCAATGAGCTTGGAAAAGAGGAAGGCAGGGGTCCCCTGGGAAATACCTGTATAACAGGTAAACAGAAAAGAAAGAGTGAATTCACAGGAGCTGCTAATATGAAGAGCACAAATACAGGTTTTTATTGTGAAGTAAAGTCAGCAACTGTAGTTAGGAAACCAGCTTGGTTAAATCGCTCAAATTGAACAATCTTAGAGGGAAAGAGAAAGCAGGTTAGGCTATTAGAGCTGGGAATAAAAGTATAACAGAAGCATGTAGGAAGAAAATTAGAAAGACACAAGCATGAAATGAAATGAATCTAGGAAGCAAAATAAAAAAACCCCACATAACTCTAGAAGTCCACTAGTTGTGTGAGGTAGAAAGGGTTCCCTAACTGTATAGTGAAAAAACTAAAAGGTGTCAGGAAGGCTTCTAGACTTCACTACAAAAAATCAGTAAATAAGGAAACTAATGCATTAGCCTAATTTAAGAAAAGGGCAGAATATTTAAGTCAGGTATTTTCAAACTGACCTCAAGTTTAACTTCATTCTAATGTATTTGCAGATCTTGCTAATGGAATCTCAATGTCAGTAATCAACGTCTTTGAGAAGTTATGGATATTTGGTGAAATAAAGGGAGGCTGTAAAGTGACAAGCGTGGTGGAGGGGAGGGAGAAAAAAAAGAGAAGGTATGAAATTACTGATTAAGCAAATTAATTTCAATTCCTAGAAAAATAGTGAAAAATGTATTTGTACATCCCTGAAAAATAACATAGGGATGAGAAACTGTCAACAAGAAACCATGTCTCAAAAATCTGATTGCCTTTACGACAGCGTGACATATTTTATGGATAGAGGAGAGCTACAGATGAAATACATCTTGATTTTCAGGTAACTTTTTACGTGATTCCCATAAGCAAATTAATAAAGTGTGTTATATGTTGATCTGCAGCTAGGTGCTTGCAAAGCTTGTTGGAAAACCAGAGTAACAGGTGCATCTCTATCAAAATGGAAATTTGTATCAAGTTGGATTGCACAGATCCAGAATCTGGTGACCTGGACGAATGCTTATAAAAGGGAAAATGCTTATTGAATTCACATGTCTGAGTCTGGGAAGGAGTAATTATGCAGAATAAAAAATTATCTTCAATTAGAAATATGAAAAAAATGGGAAGCTAGTCAATTATAACAGCTGCAGACTTAGGCTGGGATAATCAACCGATAGGGAAAACTGGTTAGGTAGCAGTTTTGTACAATAGTAACTCGGTCTTTGAGTGGTCACAGACTGGGTGTGAGTCAACCACGGCTTGTTATTGCAAAAAAAGATAAATGTACTGCTGGAATGTATTATGAAGATTAGAGTTTGCAAGACTTGGCAAGGAATTCTGCTTTTCTTAGTAGTTGTAAAGCCAGTTTTGGATGTTGCACACGAAGAAGGGTATGGACCACCTGGAGAGCAACCAGGACATCAAGGGGCCTAGAGGAAATAATGATTTATTTCAGATTGGTTGATTAGCGAAGACTAAGATGAGTAGGAGAATGACAACAGTCAACAAATATGTGTGAAATTACTGATGAGATGGGAATAACCTGTTTTTTATGTCCACCAGGGGCAGAAATTGCGGCCGGGATATTTTAGGTTAGACATTAGGACAAACCTTTTTCAAGGGTAGAGGTACTGGAAAAAAGATTGCCAGCGGTATGGTCAGGGTCTGTCATTAGGGACTTTAGGAACAGGCTACATACATATCCTCCATAAATAGAAATTTAGTAGGTATAGTGGAGCTGCCTGGAGGCAGGGAAGCTGCTAAGAGGACTTTCTGGGGACCCTTCATCCCTATGTTTCTGTTGTTGCTAATGTCATAGAATTATAGAATGGTTTGGTTTGAAAGGGACCCGTTAAAGGTAATCTAGTCCAACCACCCTGCTATGAGCAGGAACATCTTTCACTGGATAAAGTAGCTCAAAGCTCCGTCCAACCTGGCCTTGAACACTTCCAATGATGGGGCGTTGCTTCTCTGGGCAACCTGTTCCAGTGTCTCACCACCCTCATCGTAAGAAATTTCTTGCTTACATCAAATCTAAATCTATACTTTTTCACTTTGAAACTGTTGTCCCTTGTCCTATCACTACAGGCCTTGGTAAAAAATGGATCTGGTCCACCAGTACGCCTGTTGTCCCATCGCATGTTTAGGAGTCCATGCCACCCCACTTGGTACAAGTTGAAAGTTTCAACCCAAAAAATCCTCTTCGTAATCCTGCTTATTTCCTAATTAAATCCTAGTTAATTTAATTTACCTATGAAACACAGTGCAACTTCTCTGGTGTAATCCTGATCTCATCTTAACCCTGTTGATTGTAAATAAAAACTTGTGCAATGTTTGGGAGTTTTCACATAAAACTACATCTCTATTTAACCTTAAAACTTATGTTGTAATACACAACTGGTCAACAATCTCCAAACATCTGCCATGGGTAAATACAGGAAGTGTCTTGTGGGTATTGTACTTGATATCTGGTAAATTCAGAACCTGAGAATTTCTACTCATTACTCTTGAGAAATAATTTCCTACTTCCAGCATTTTTTGTTAAAAATATGATTTTTGATACTTCTCTATACTTGAAATAAAATAATAAATTTGTAATATTTTCAACCACATTCATAAAATAACGGGTAGTTTTCCAGCCATGATGAGTCCCAGTTATTTATGTATACAACAGGAGTAAAGAATAATTACCTTTACTAGTGAAATCTTTTGCTCTGTGTGTGTGAATATTGAAAGCAATATTTAAAGTCAGCAAATATATTTGCTTACAATTTTGTAATTGTTGTTTCTTTTGAGAGAAATTGTTCTTCTTTTATTCTCTTAGTAATAAATCATTAGGGCTCAATAAGGCAAAAAGAAATATTTGCTATTTGTACTGATTCTAACTGGTAGGAAATAGTAGTAGTAAGTAGTAGTTGAGTGGAAAATACTTCTCTCCTTGGAGTTTGGCCTTTTTAACATAAGGATCACGTTTGTAAGGCAATGTCAAGATGAGTACCTACTTAAACTCAGGTTAAAAGTACTTTGTTTTTTTTCCACTTTGCAGCCTCTGCTGCTGGCCAGATTCAGCCTTGTGAGGTGATTTTTTTTTTTTTTATTTTTAAATCAGGAAACGCAGTGACAAAGAACCCAGTTTTGTCTGTGGTGCACTGTTTTTATTTACAAGAAACGTACACAAAGTCCTATTTCCCTGAAAAGAGAAAGAATCAAACAGCATGAGACAGATTGTCTGCTTACAATTCGTTCTTCTGACTTTTTCTTGGTGACATGCAACTGTTGCTTCTCTTGCTCTCTGTGGCTTGTTTTCTGTTTGCTTGCTGGGTCCTGATGACACACAGATACATATTGTCCTTCCAAACTATGCTCAACCTTTGCGTTCGCATTCAAACCACAGTGCTATCCTTTATACCACATATCTTAGTTCCTACCCCAGCCTTGTCATGCTTGTCCAGATTTCAGCTGGTATTTTTTACTGTGTCAGTTATTGATAAATAAAGGCAAATTTAGCATGATTAGATAATTCTGTTCTGCTCACTATTTTTGGCAGTGCTCACAGAGCAAAGTCAATGGCTACTCCCAGAGACAGCAAATCTACAGGATGAGTTTATATTAAAAATTAAATATGTATTTATGTAATCTTAGTGTTCAGTGTGCTGCAGTATATGGCACCATATACATTGCATTTGTGTCTTTCTTCCTTTTGCATGAAAATACGCTGTCACTTCTGAGGAAAAAAGGGCTCTTTCTCCCACAGGACTTCAGGAGAGGGCTGGCTTCGGAACTGCTGCTCCGCACAGCACCAGAGTGGTGCTGAACTGTTGCTGAGAGGCACAAGCCCCCAGAACTCAGCTCCTGCTGAGTCTTGAGCGAAGTAGGAGGAAAGGACAAGTGACCCTGCTGCTCACGGAGGCAGGCCTCTCCTTTCATGGATGCTGCGAATCTCTTAGCTCTGTCTGCAGAGTTCAGCGGTCCCACAGCTCCTCTCTGTCACGGCGGCATGATCTGCCTCTGCTGGGCTGGGAGCGCTCACGGAGTGCGGAGTTTGGTCAAAGGTGGGAAAAGCTGCAGTTCAGTAGTGGAAGAAACGGCTCGTGGTAAGAGTTGGTGCGTCTGAGGTGTCAGAAACTCCGCTATTACAACAAATGCCATCCACGAGCATTCAAGGATTTAACACGACAGTCTCTGAAATGGAGTAAAAATCTTTTGGGTGGAAGAGAGTATAATTTTTTTTCCTAACTGGCTGTGGAACAAAGTTATTCTTTCAGTGTTACCCCATCTGCGCCTCGGGACAGCTAGCTGTCGCTCACACCTCCAGGTAAGTTCCTTGGTGAACAAGTTCTTCAGCTGAACTGACAAGATCCAGATAGGATGCCAACGGCAGCTGTGGTCACACCTTTTTATTAAATCAAGCATATGATTCTGTGCGATGCAGGGGAGTTTTGTCATTGACCTAATTAGGATCAGAAGCAAACCCTAGAGGCTGCCTGCAAGACCCTGGGATAGCAGTAAAAGTTTTGCCACTGTACTTCTGTACTAACGGCTTAACACATCATGACTTCCATCTGCATGTGCACAGAGACCAAACCAACTAAAGCTCTTACCAAGCTTCTGGGGTAAAGCTGATCAAAAATAAAATACTGGGCCAAAACCTGCTTTGAGTTGTTTTATGTTTCACACAAATTTAACTCCTTTAATTGTTACGGGATTTCTTTTCAGTTGCGCTGTTGCAACCAAGTGCAGAGCTTTTGCCTCATATGTCTCCCAGCTTCAGAAAATGTTCTGCTAGGGAATCTTTTAATTTCTTTCATTTTTCTTGATGATAAAGTTATTTCACTAACCCTTCTTTATCTTTGCTGCTGAATATACATTTGATTACTAAATTTAGTGCTTCTCTTCACATGACCTATTTCTTTTGAGTCTTAATGCTGTTGCTTGGATACGCTTCTCTCTTCTAAGTGAGGCACTTGGTTTCATCTTGCTTTTTTCTGTGCTTTGGGTGATACAAATGGATTGTTATTGAGTATTTTTTCAGATTTTTAAATGCATTTGGTTTGTCTGGCACCTTGGTTTCAACAGAACTTTTGTCTTTGCAGATTTGTGGTTTTATGTGTAGTATATCCTGTGTAACACTGAATAGCTTGCTATTCTTGCTTTTCTTTACAATCAGTTACAAAAATGACACCATTAAGCTGAGTAAAGGCAAATCACTACTTAACATGGGAATACTAATATTTCTAGATAAATTTCCTTTTCATATGGTACTGTTGCTGCAAGTTAATTCTTGGAGCACCTTCCATGAATTAATATTTTTGGTTTAGCCCCGGGCTAGTAAAAGTATACAACAGGAATGAACTAAAGCATTTTAATTTGGGCTGAAATATTCTTATTCCTGTATGGAGTTTTGCTTATACCATTTTGAAAAAGGTATAGTAAACTAGAGCAAGAAAAAATTGAAGGGTGGCAGAGACGTTCAGAGACTGAGAATAGCTACCATGTGTGGAGAAGTTAAATGGGTTAGAATTCTTGGCTTAGAAGGGTGACAATGGAAAGCAGCACATGAAAAATCTTTAAACCAGTGGATGGTGGGGAAAGGTAAAGAAGAGGCAGGCGTTCCCATAATCTCACAGTACAAGAATTAGGAGCATCCTGTGAATCATATAACATGGAAAAAAAAAAAAATCAGAAGGAAGTACTTCTTCATGTGGCAGAAATAGTGGAATGTGATGCTGTTGGAGACTGAGGAGGCAGTACTATAAAAAAGGGGATAGGTGGGGTGAGGGACAGTGTCTGATGGTTTGCCATTGAAGGTAGTGGCCAGATACAAACCCCGTCACAATCTTCTGGTCAGTGATTGCTGGAAGCTGAAAAAACGTACAACAAAAGGTTCAGAGTGGGTTGCTAGATTTTTGTATGGGTTGTATTCCGATTTATATAATGTGCTGTCTGGCCTATGCTGCTGCAGCTTCACTGCTACCTGTAACTCTGCTAACTGGATTAAAGATAGCACGCATATACTTCCCGATGCTACAGGCACATCTTGATTTTGCTGCGTAGGGTGCTTTGGACATGTAGAGCAATTTTGCAAAGAAAGGGGAAACTTTGAAAGTTTGCACTTGTCAAAACATTCCATATGCTTACTGGTATGTGGCTATGTAATCACAATGACTTGAATGTTTAATACTGTGCATTTTCTTTGTAGGCACACACAAAGTTTTATTACGGTTTGAACTGCTGGAGAAATAATAGAAATCAAGGAGTTAGAATTCTGTGAAGAGAGCAGTAATTGATGGTGATGTGTTGTGGAAGCACATGCCTGAAATGAGTTAAGTACTTAGATAAATAATAAATAAACCCCATTTATTAGCAGTATTACCAAATGTTACTTGTATAATGTTACTGTAGGCTGTATGAAAGAAAATGAATGCATATGCTTGATAACAGTCACAATGAGAATAACATATATAATCATGTTCTTGATGGGTAACTTCTTGTGTAAGTGTTGGCTTTTGAGGCTGATGCTGAACACTGCTCTCTCAAGAATAAAGTGCCCACCTAACTAGAGGAGCAAAAAGCTAAAGAAGCTGCTTAAACATGGCTGTCTAGCACCATTTTAGTTGCTATGTGGTATATATCTCTTGTCCTCCAGCTGTTGCTTCTGAAAGCTTCAAATCTGTCATCAGTCTCGTGGTGTATCTGCCAGCCCTTTGCAGATACCTTTGATACCCAAGGGTGTGTCAAGTGGCACTAGATGATGCAGATGATCTCTGTGAGTGGCAGCTGAAAGGTCACCCCGGGGGGGCCCTCGCTGACACTTCTTCAGGTAACAGAAGTGTGGAAGAACCTATCTGGGGAATCAGTTCCTCACCTATACGTGTCAGAGCACTGATGTACAGCCCCCAAAATATAAAAGTTTATACTTTAGTTACATGGGCTGAACTTAGTGGATTCAATACAAATAGCTAACATTCAAAATCATGTATGTGTGAGTTACGCAAGAGCAGATTCCACACTATATACAGTACAGCACTGGCTACATTACTTTGATTAAATTCTTACTCGATTTTGGTATCTAGTAGGGAAGAAACTTTAATAAAGGTCAGTTAAATGCTAAGCTACTTTTTCTTCTGGTCTTGTAAGGATCTATAATTTCTTTACCATTTCCCTCCTTTTTCAAGTATGTTCAGATGCTGTTGAAATTGTCCTGTACCAAACATGTATATTTAAAACAGAAAATAAGTGTATATGGCTTTTGAAATTAAAAAAGCAAATTGATGAACTAGCTTTATGACCCACTGCATCTCTCAGAGTTATAAATAATGACACATAGAGAATAAATTGACAATTAACTGTAACTACCCCATGACAAACAAATAAAAAAACCCCAAACCACAACAAAGCAACCATTACAGAGCTAGATAACAAAATCCAGGAATATATTAATGTCTGGAATAATCTGCAAAATTTCCATCAATCAAAAAATCATTAAAATAATATTATACAAGCAATATTACATCTTACCATAAGAGCTCTGTGGTTTTTAAATCAATGTTAACATTTTTTGGCAAACTTATCATGTTGTTTTTCTTAGTATTTATCACACAACATTACTTTGGTCATACAACAAGGTATATTGAGACCTCCTGAAAGACCATTTAACTAAACGAGGCACAAATGTTGTCTGTTGAATTTCACCTTTGAATCTTAAAGTCCTCTTCAAAACTGCCAGAAAAGGAGGTATGTTTGATTACTTTGTTAGTGATTAAGGAAAAAATCCAATGTGTATGATAACTCAATATTGCTTCTTATTAACAGTTGCCTAAGCAACGGATATGGAAAACCTAAGAATATTCACAACACATCTTCCTTCTGGCTAGATGATGCTGATATCTGTAGTCTTACAGCATGCTGTGTCCGTGTTGCCAAGCGGATCATTACCTTCAGTGTGAGGTACTGTAATTACATCATCTAATATTGCCACTACTTATCCTAATTCTGCCATTTACCAATCTCCCTGCTCTTAAGAATGTTAAATGCCCAGAATGTTTCAGATTTAAGTGTTTCAAACCTAGATTAGCGTGAGTTTCAAACTTCTCTGAATTGATACAGCTCTGCAGCTGCATGCATTCTCAGTGGCTTCAGAGTATACAGTCATATTAAGCAGGAAGAGGCCCTGTTCTACCAGCTGTCGCACAGACCCATATTTCCAGACACAGATTTCCAGCAGGTCCTACCTATCGGGCATGTGGAGAACCATCTCTCTAAACACCGTTATCATATTCCACTGAGGGCAGCCTTTCAGCCCTTAGCACCAGCCATTTGTCAGTACCTGAGAGGGTGTCTTGACTGTGTGTGCTACTTGTGCACTTACACGGGCAGGTGTGGTGACTGCTTGTGGGCACCCGAAACCACCTCACTTAGACTGGAGGTGGAATTTCAATTCAGACAAGTTGGCTCAGCTGGGACACAGGACCAGCCCTGCCTCTTACTCTCGCTTTTGTTAGTAAGCTGACAGCTTCAGAGTGACAACATAAATGAGTGCTGACAGTCACCCAGCATTTCCAGAGCGTCCAGAAGAGCAGACAAATTCTCTCCCAGTTAAGTGAGAGTCACAGATACCGTTGCAGGTGTGGATTTACCAAAGAAACAGAGGATTTAATCCTCCCACACCTCAGCATTAGCCTTCACCGCCTAGTTCCCTGCTGTAACACGGGGAACCAGCGTTGTTAGTACAGCACTGGGGCTCCTCTCAGAGTCTTCAGTCCTGTGTGGCTGGGAGGAAGCTGTGGCTGTCTCTAACAGCCACGAGAGGTACGTCTGCCTGCGCTGCTGGCCCACGCCGTTGTGTGTCCCAGCCCAGAGGGACTGCCTGCCTTACGTGACCTCGGGGGGGCTGCTCTTGCCACATAGCCCGATGTGGCCAGGGTGTGCACCTCCAGCGCAGAGGAGAGAAACCATCCGTCACCTTCATGTCGAGCCTTCACCCACCCCGGTACTGCAGTAACGCATAAAGCTTTATGTTCCCATGAGTTCTAGGGCCTGACATGCCATACTAGTGGGACTCACTGTGACTCACATACAGCTTTAAATACACTCCCTCACATCCAGGCTGGACCAACTGAGATTGTCTGTCTGTACCCAGACACCTGTCGCTCCCATTAAATCTGAAGTGAACACAGACTCTTAGTTATATAACATAACACCAAAATACAATTTTATTTTTCCTGAAGAAGAAAGAAACCCCGAATGGAACTTGCATTCCATGCTCTGTTTCCAGGACATGACTTAGGATCCTCCAGGAAAACGATTTTTAAGGGCAATATTAATCGTTAATCTTTGCTTGACTTTCACTTGACTTGACATTTGATATTAAGAATGGAGAATCCTTTTTTAATTTAATGTTTTGCTTAGCTTCTTTCACTGTAGTACTAGCATGAAGGAGCAGTCCCTTCTGTGGCTTGAAATGGGGCAAATACTATACTCTTCTGCCATTCCATCTTGACAAACACTAGACATCTGCTTCAGAAGGAACTAAATGAGGAGAACAGAAATAGGATTCCTGTTTTCTACCACATTGCATTTCTAATAGCTGATTGGAGATAATTTTCACTGAAATAAAGACTTTTTAAAATTAGGTTTGATACATTTGAGTGTGCTTCAAATCAGATTATAGAATTATACACTACAGAAATAAAAGACAAATTCAATGACCTTGATAAAATCAAGGTTTTTCTGTACAGACTTATAGTACTAAATTTTAAGTGGACCACTTGACACTAATAAAGATAATATATTAGTCTCTAATAAGTTAAAATTTATAGAAAAGTTCTTTAAATTTACAAACATTATATCTCTGATATTTCTGAATGTATGACTACAGCAAGCAGGTCAGGCTAAACATTTTTTCAGTTTCACTCAGAGTGCCTCATAGAATTTACTATGTATCTTTATTACTTCATGCTCTGAACATTTGATGACAGCACTGGGACCCATGTGGACTCAGATGGTGAAAAACTGTACCAGATTTGCATTCAAGGAACTAACTAGATACCAAAAGTACATGTTGAACTAGATCAGCACATGCAGTCTTTTAACAACAGCACATGCACACCTCCTTGTTCTGTTAGTACTTTGCTTGCTGGCCGTGTGGAGGAGATCACAGCAAAAGGCTTTCTCGTTTGATTGATCCAATTTTTCTTTAATAGCTAGTATTACTTTAGTGATTGCCTTGCAGTGTTTCACTTATTAATTCAAATGGTACTTTTTTCATTAGTTCAGTATTTTGTTCTTGGTGTTGTTGGTTTCTAAGGGGACAAGTTCCATAATTTTGCAAAGTCCTGTGATCACGATGTTTTGGTCAAAAAATTAAGAGTGATTTATTCAAGGCTTGTGATTTCTGTTTCTGTATTGGGAGTCTTGGATGAGTAGATGCCCATATGCATCAATTGGGGGTCATCTGAAAATGAAAGGGAAACTATGTTTCTGAGTATGTAGTTGTAGGATGTAAACTAGACTGACATCAGTAGTAATGACAAGCTTGGGCCCTTAGAAATAGCAGTTAACAGAAATAGGATATCTGTAGTTTAATGGATTTGACTAGTTTTGTCATTTTCCAAGCAATGGTGAAAACAGTCAAATGAACAGATGTACGGTTCAGGGGATAGTAGGTAAACAAAGAAATGATATGCAGACTTGCAAATGTATCACAACAGTGTATACTGTATGAAAGGAAAACAGATCTGAGAGTCCTTAGATTTAAAATTGTTGGACAACTGTCAAATTTATGATTGTTTTTCCAGAACTATGCCAGTGCTACAGCCCTTGCCTAACTGTATAAGCCAATGTATTTCCTTAGAGAAATCAATTTATGACAGTTCGAAGAATCAGCTAGAAAAACTTACACAACTCATCTTTTCATAATCCAGAACTCCATACAAGACCGGTTCCCAAGTTATGATTCAAACTACTTAAAAGTTAGAGTAAAATGGATGGTATAAACTAAAGATGTGGTATCTGCATTTTACATAGGTACTTCCATGAAGTTGTCTGTAAGAACACATTAAATATTTCATGAAGCACAGTAAAATCCACCATGTGCACATCTGATGTACTTTGGAATGGTTGATGGTATTCCTGCTCTCTGATTTTGGTTTGCCTTAAAGCCTCACGCTGTGGTTGTCTAGCAGCTGAACAGCAGCTAAATGCAGGCACAAGGGGTGAAAGACAACTGGAATCATTAACTTCTTCAGCCCTCCTACAGCCATTCCCGTTCATAATTCAAAGCCCTCAGAGTAAGACTGTAAAGGGATTTATCACATCAGTATCTTTGGTGAATGTTACTTTGAAGGTAGTGGCTGGAAGAACTTTTACTGAATACTAAATTCCTGAACTTGCCTCTCCTTCTCTTTCTGCTATGATTTAGCAGCCTACTTAGGAGTTAGTGTATTCTTCCTTCAGTTCCTAAAACCAGGCAGAAATATTATTAAAACAGTTATTTGAAAAGCACAATCTACCAAAAAGCTGCATCAGATGGTGCGGTCAGGGACCTCTGTGAGGCAGAGCCCCCATCATGGCTACTGAGGAGTCCAGTCTCTGCATGTTTTTTGAGAACATGTTAAATTTTGCTATCTAATAGCTCATAGCAATTAACCTATTGACTGCGCAATACTGTTTCTAGCCGTGGGCTAACAAACCAAGTATGTTCTGCCCAGCTGGAATGAACTTTGAATCTTAAAATCATAGAACCATAGAATCATTTAGGTTGGAAAAGACCTTTAAGATCATCAAGTCCAGCCTTCAACCTAACACTGTCAAGTCCACCACTAAACCATGTCCCTCAGCACCACATCTCCATGTCTTTTAAATACCTCCAGGGATGGTGACTCAACCATTTCCCTGGGCATCCTGTTCCAGTGCTTGACAACCCTTTTGGTGAAGAAATTTTTCCTAATATCCAATATAAATCTCCCCTGGTACAACTTCAGTCTGTTTCCTCTTGTCCTATTGCTTGGTACCTGGGAGAAGAGACCCCACACCCACCTCGCTACAGCCTCCTTTCAGGCAGTTATAGGGAGCAATAAGGTCTCCCCTGAGCCTCCTGTTCTCCAGGCTAAACAACCCCAGCTCCCTCAGCAGCTCCTCACAGGACTTGTGCTCCAGACCCTTCGCCAGCCTCGTTGACCTTCTCTGGACACACTCCAGCACCTCAATGTCTTTCTTGTACTGAGAGGCCCAAAACTGAACACAGCATTCGAGAAGTGGCCTCAGCAGTGACAAGTGCAGGGGGACAATCACTTCCCCAGTCCTGCTGGCCACACTATTTCTGATACAAGCCAGGATGCTATTGGCCTTGATGACTTTTAATTCACTTTTTTTCAATTCATGTATAACTGACGATTAAAATATGTTTTACCTTGTATCTGCTCCTTCTGGGTAATAATTTGAGACTGGTTTCTCTCACCTCTTCCAGGCTTAGGGAGGCTGATCCTCCTCTTCTTATGCTGCTTCCATTTTGTTCAACAGGACAGAGTTTTCTGCTCTTTGATGACCTAATTTGGAAATAGATATCTAAGATAAAAGTAAATGTTTCTGATCAGCTAGACACTGTGTGAAGAGATGTGTCTTTCTTGTACCTTACAGATTAAAATTGATCAGCTTCATTGCTCAGCGTTTATGAATCAAAGCTTCTACACTTTGATCCCAACAATGCTTGGACTGCCTGAACACTCATATGTGAAAATTCCTGTCAGGGTGTGAAAATTGTGCCAGATGTGACTCAAAAGAATAATTTCCCCTCCATTTGCAGGGAGGTGAAAACATTTTAGTAATGTTTATTACACTGTTGGAAAGATCCTGTATGATCTGACCAAAACCATCATTGAAGATTGGTAAAGTAGCACTATATCTTACTCTGACAAATACATCAATTTAAATGTAATTACTAAAATTTTAATGTAATTACCATGTTAGCCTTAAACTTTAGATGTCCCATCATCCATTTTACACTCAAACCAATATGTCATTAGCTTGTGAATGAAAAGCATATTTTACTGTTAATTGCTCCTTACTTTTACGATAACACAATGTTCCAGTATGCTTCAAAACCTAGGTAAAGGTAAATCTTAAAAGAATGATTGCTCTTATGTGTGACTTCAGCTAAGAGCCAATATTAATCTCATTTATGTGACTATATAAAGTCTGGTTGTCATACCATACATATGTCTGTGTGCATTTGAATTAACAAGGTTTCCTGTGTGGAAATGTGCTTACCTTGTGCCAGCTCTTGATCTCATCAAGCCTTTCTCTGTGTTTATTTAAATCGCTAAAATAGAACAAAGCAAAACCAGCCAAAAGAGGGTATTTTTCTCTGGAGCTGGTACATTGAATGGGCTCAGGGAAGGATCTGGTGAATGCCCGTTGGTGCAAATATGAGGCAGACCCTCAGAGCAACGTGGGCACAGGGGGAAGGAAGTGGTAATGGTGGACTGAGAGTGAGATCTCACCCTTTTAGTAGCAGTGAGATGCTGGATGGGCTCAGCTAGCCATTGAATTATACCCAAAATGTGAGCAGAGTTTCAACCAGGTGTAAAAGAGAATTTTACCTCACAGTAGGTTAATGGCTTGTTAAGTACTGTGGTAGTTATTAGTCCAGGGAGAAGAGGGTTAACCACAGAATGAAAAAATCCTCTGCTCTTGAATTTTTGATGGTTTCTTTTTTGTCTATTTGTTTGTTGTTTTGTTGTGTGGTGGGTTTTTTTATTTTTTGTTTTTTGTTTTTTGTTTTTTCCTGCCTTACTACAGCTCGTCCATTATACTCTGGCTACAGTCTGCGTTGTGACTGACAGAGACAGACCACGAAACTGCTATAATCAGCTAACAGAATCACAAGACTGGACTACAGTCACAAATGGATACAAGCTTGGGATTTATATTTAGCTATAGTCATAGTGCAGTTTGCAATTTAGGGAGGGCATACCTGATCCATCTTTAAATGAGCTAATCCTCCTAATGGAAAATTTCTAGTCACTACAACACTGTGCTTGGCACAAGTTAATTTACTTTCTGCCATCATGGTGAGACTTGTTTCCAAGGTGCATACGCAGGTTACTTTGTAGACACATCCACCATCTACTTAGGAATCCTGTTTTTGTTTTGTGAACATGCAATTATGTGCTAACCTTTATGCATGGCTAGCAAAATGCAAGCCTTTTTGAAAGAAACAGTTAAGAATTCATTGCATAGCAAGAATGTGACACCTAGTGGATAGATGACATTGAGGAAATGTGACGGTCCCATCAAGTAATATTGACATTAAATGACTCTATCCAGTAGAACAATTAATTTGATACCAAAAAAGACATTGGTCTTGAATGACTCTTTGCACAAGGCCAAGGTAATTGGATAATGGCAAGTCCACACTGAAAGCTCAGAAGGGAAGAAGGTGTCAGAGTTTGTTTTAAAAGGATTTTTTGTAAACCACTAGCAGAATGGTTTACATTCTGTCTAAAATACAAAGACCAAAGCCCATGAAGACATTGTGGATACTCATGACATACATCATAACTGGAGACTTCTGACATGCAAAACACAAGAATAAAGTGTGCCTAAAACCCCCTTTTTGTTAAACCCATGTCTCTGTTATTGCCGTGTTATCTCTTCATGAATTGAGTTTTCAGAGTCAGAGATACTCAGTGGTGAATAACTGTATGGTTAGGCCACTGGGAGCTGGACAAGACTGAGACACAGTTTAAGGAGTCTGACTAATACATTCTGCCCAAACAAGCTGATACAGACTGTGTCTGTCTGCTACTTCCCACTGCAGTCTGTAGGACCTGAATTTCAGGTATTCACATATCTCCATTTCCCCAGGTGTCCTAGTCCCTCACTGCTTCACTGGCTATAAATAATAGAAGAACTCATCACCAGAAACTGATATTTTATAGTGGCTACAGAATACTAATGAAACTTTTCACTGTAGAATTTACAAATTTTAAACCTGCATGTATTTCCAAATAGACTGAGAAGTACCTGCTAAGTAATAGCCAGATGCTAGAGGAAAGATAAATCCTAGCCTCCAGCAGTTGTGTTCTTTATGGGGCATATATGTTGGCTCTAAAAATCCTCCTGCAGGTGTTTTCCTGAAGTCAGTTCTTAATTCCAGTGGATAAACCAACATGAAGTCGCTTTGCAGCCAGCTGGTTTGCATCAGTCTCATTTTACCTGGTAAGCTGTTAATGAATCCACCTGTAGTGGCTCAGAGCCATTGGGTGTTGTGCGCCTGCTTGGCACAAATCACCGTGCAACTCCCAGCTGGTGCCTTTCAAAAGGCGAGGGACAGTTTCTGTAATCACTCTAGATCTGTATGCACTGTTCACATCTATATGTTAACATAATTTGCAAGAAACGCCGAAGGCCGTAATATTGTCCAAACCAAAAAATATTTTTTCAGTAGCTGGTTTAAAAAAACCCTTCCACAAGCCCAGCAGGGGAACACGCTTTGCTCAGCGGCTTCTCCACCCGCCAGCCCTACTCTGCAGCCGCACTTGGCTCTTCTCAGCTACAAATGGATGTGTGAAATTATATTCTCTACAAAAGTCTTGCTATCAAAATGCAACCGTGTCCTCTTTTGCCTGTAGAACACTATGTTCAGAAGTAAAACTACCCCGGCTGAAGGGCAGGGCTTTTAGCTCGAGCTCCGTGAGGGGATTTGGCCTGACAGGGGACAGGATGGGAAGGGAAAGGTGCAACAGAAAAACCGAGGAGCATTAAGCGAGAGCTGAGGGTCCCCGTGAGTGTTGATAAAACACCGTAACAAAAATATTTTGAGGGAATTATAGCGCAAGGGCGCGACCCTTCACCGCCGCCGGAGCCCTCAGCCCCCGCCGACGGCCGCGGCCTCACGGCCCCGCGCTCGCCCCGTGCGCACGTGAGCGGGGCGGGGCAGCGGCCTCTCCGCCCACGGGGAGGAGGAGCCACCGGCGGCGGGCGGGCCCACGGGGCGTGGCCAGCGGCGGCAGGTGCCACGTTGGGCCGCGCCCCGCCCCGCGGATGTGGAGCCGGCAGCCGGCGGTGAGTGGGGGGGCGGGCGGCCCGGCGCAGCACTCGGCGCGGAGCCGCAGGTGGGGGCTCCCGCTGCCCGCGCCTCCGCCGGGGGAGGAGTCTGCCCCCGCCCGCCCACCCTGCCCTTCCCTGCTGGGGCGCGAGGCCGGAGCCGGGCCGGGCCTCGCCGCTCAGGCGCGCTCGGCGGCGTTCACGGGGACGGGGAAGGTGTGTGTGTGTGTGTGTGTGTGGGGGGGGGGGGGGGGGGGGGGGGGGGGGGGGGTGGGGGTGGCGTGTGTGGTGCTGGGGTGTGTGTGCGCAGATCTGGGGAGCCCTGGGCCCGGTCTGCAACCGGTGCACGCAGTGGGAGCCGGCCCGTTCCCGGCCCCCCCCCCCCCGCCCTTTCGGCTCCCCGCCATTTCGGGCAGCGCTCGGCCTCGTACCCCGCCCCCCCAACCACCAGCTCGGTGGGGTCGTGGCGGCCTGGCGTGAGGGGGCGGCGAGCCCTGGGCCGGGCGGGCCTCTCTCCTGCCCCGGTCGTCCGGCGCCTGGAAGAGGAGGGCGAGGCGCGGCCGGGCGGCGGCAGGCCGCCGCTGTGGGCCGCCTGGGAGCGGCCGAGGCGAGGGGCGCTGCCCGGGGACGCAGCCCCCCCCGGCCCCAGGGGCGCGTCGGCGGGGGGACCCCACGGCTTCGGGACTGGGGAGGGGACGGGGCGGGGGTTTAAAGTCCTCGTGTCTCGGTTCCCCGCGCTTCGGGGTCTCTCGTCAGTTACTCTGCACCGAGGTGTGAGAGAAGAGGCCAAGTTCCCTCCCAGAGGGTCTGCGCCAGGCGTTGGACGGGCTACCCCGCGGTGTAAGAGATGACAAACGCGAGTTGGAAGAGGGCTTCAGCCCTGTTCTCGTTTTCAGCAGTAATAAGCCTAAAAATAACAAGCCTCCCTTAGTCACCGCGTGAAGCACAGTGATCCTGAATAAATGATAGGAGCCAAGTTTACCGAGTGGCCTGCTGTTTATACAAAAGCTGTTTTCAGAAAGTAACTGTTCTGTGAAGTTACATTGTTAACTAGTAATTTAATAGTTATCTAGTGCCTTTCATTAAATAAATTCTTTAGAAATTGCAGTATGCACAATGTGGCAAACATTTTTTAAAAAAAAACCTGATTATGGGAAGTGATGCTGTAAGGTGGAGTGACTCGTCAAGACAGTATAGTCAATCTTTGACAATCACAGTGCCTTATCCCTGATGATGTTTTCCTTCATTCTGCTTGTGCAGATTTGCACCTAAAATGTTTTTAAATACTTTAATAACCTGGTGTATATGTTTTAAAGACGTACATACTTGGGTTCAGAGCTGTAAATGTGAATGCTGCAGAATTGTATGCATGTAAACTGGCAAGTGAAATTAACTAAAAACCCCACTGAAGTCTTGAAAGCTTTTTTGGCCAGATGAAAGGAAATAGACTTGTTTATTATGATAGGCATATGTTTACAATATCACTGTGTTTTGTAGGATAATTTATATGAAATACTGGGGATTGTGATTTCTCTGTGAATCGCTCAAGTATAATTTACAAAAGCTCGACTGCATCCTTATAGCAGACTACTTAGAAATGAAGTAATATCAGTCTTTGAACAGGAGGAGGAGAACTGCTTAAAGACAGTGTGTAAAATTCTTTCTTCAGTGAAGTTAATAGCAAAAAACCCCCAAACCAAACAACCAAACCTTCCCCTCAGTTTTAAATTCAGTCTGTTGGTATGGTTTTTGGTTGGGATTTTTTAGTTATTTCTTTTTTAAACTGAGCAGGTTAGTTACCAGATTCATCTTTTTATATCAACAACTTTAAATTGCTTTATGAAGCATGATACAATGGTCTCTGTAGAATGGTTTATATAAAAATTGAAGGCAAAATGTCAACAGACTTAAGAGCAGCAGCTGAGGGAGCTGGGGTTGTTTAGCCTGGAGAACAGGAGGCTCAGGGGAGACCTTATCACTCTCTACAGCTACCTGAAAGGAGGTTGTAGCAAGGAGGGTGTTGGTCCCTTCTCCCAAACAAATGATAGGACAAGAGGAAACAGACTGAAGTTGCGCCAGGGGAGGTTTAGATTGGATATTAGGAAAAATTTCTTCACTGAAAGGGTTGTCAAGCACTGGAACTGGCTGCCCAGGGAAATGGTTGAGTCACCATCCCTGGAGGTATTTAAAAGACATGGAGATGTGGTGCTGAGGGACATGGTTTAGTGGTGGACTTGACAGTGTTAGGTTGAAGGCTGGACTTGATGATCTTAAAAGTCTTTTCCAACCTAAATGATTCTGTGATTCTATAAAGGTTCACTTAGATCACTTGGATTATTTCATATAAAGCTATGCTGATGTTCAACACTTTGCAACTGGACTTTGTCACCGAACACTTGGTTTATATCTTTCAACACGTAATTTAAGTGCTTTCTGCATAATTTGCCTATCTATGGGATAGGTGTCCTGCTCACTTACCCAAGGTGGTGTAAGTTTCCTTGGTACGGTTAAAGCTTCACAAGATTAACTGCAAAGGTTCCTCCTTAAACATGCAATGTGTTTGCACACTCTTACCAGGAGAAGCTTATTGGTTTTAGATATCAGTTTGACCAGTGTTTTCATTTGCTAAAAAATACACTGTAGGAAGTTGCAAGCTGTTGTTTTTGGTGATAGTTTCTCCTTATTACTTTGTTATAATTTATTTATTTGCTTTCTCATCACTACTGCTTTCTTATATATAGCAACAACAGTTTTCCTACTTGGAGAGTAGGATATAAATGCCACCAAAGACTAGTAGCATCTTGTCAAGTGACAGCTGGAGATGTTACTCAAACTGCTCTTTCCAGTAGGCCTACAGAATTGGTCACCTGTCACTTTACTATAGTGAGTTACATATATCTGTGCCTAGCAAAGTTTTGTGTTTTTTAGATTGATACCAAATATTTTTTTTAACACTGGCATTTTTGTTTTGTTTTTGTACTTAGCAAGCTCTCGAAAGATGGCAGAAAGCTGGTCTTTCTTGGATACTTTTGACTCTAACTTCAGGCCTCTGGTAGTGATTGAGCTTGCAAAAGGCACCAAAGAGGAAACCATAGAATGGTTCACTAAACGAATAGTGGACAAAAAAGCAAATGGAGGTGAGTACAGTATGACCTTCTGTAACACTTTGAAATCAAAATGGCTGTCGTCATAATGTGAAGACATAGAGAAAATTAGCCTTCAGGTAATTTGTGGTTTAATTATTATTTAATCCGTCCCATTCCATTTTGTATTTTTGAAGTCACGTAATTTTATGGAAGAGCAGAGCTTCATGCTGGTGTCATGAAAAGGTAATAACTGAACACTGTTAACCCAGTTATTAGTGCAAATATTGGCTTAAGGTCAAACACCGTGCTCTTGCCACGACACTATTTCATTACTCATTTTAGTATACTTGCAGAATTGAAGTTAATTAATTTGTACTTACTTAGACTTTTTATTTACATTTTTTTAGAAAGGCATTATTTCTGTCTGTTTTAGCTTATCTTATGGTCAGTAATATTTCTGTAGCTACTGGTTTTGTG